AACAACTTTACTTAGACAGCCAAAAGTGGTTTACTTAATAAAATTTTTTGTAAATAGCAAATGTTTTCAAGAAAGATTTGGTACAAGTGATCATTGGGAAGAGTTAGTGATTTGCGTCTATATAAGTATTTATATCAATATTATTTCACTAGCATCAAATAAACAATTTATATAACTCCAATTACATAGAATGCAAATGATAAGTCTGCTTTTTTAAATATGGATTCAAATAGACTTAAAGTAAATTATATAGGTGGGAACATATAATATATTTTTATATATGTATAAAAAATAAGTACTTGAAAATTCATAATTATCTTATCAAGGTATTTTGTATAAAAAGTTAAGGATATATAATTTACATTTTTGTTAAATTTTTTAAAAACAAAAAGGTTGTGAAAACAATAATGAAGATGCTGTAATCCATACTACTAATCCAATTCTATTACAATATAAATTGTTTTATTTTAAACTTTATATTATAAATGATAGCAAAACTGATGATAATGATGATAATGACAATGAAGATAATGAATATGAAGATGATAAATATAAAGATGATAAATATAATAAATGTGAAGATGATGAATATAAAGATAATCAATATAAAGATAATCAATATAAAGATGATGAATATGAATATGATAATGAAGATGAAAAAAAGTGCAAGATGCAAAATATCTCGTAACTTTAAATAAGTTTTATTTTTTTATAAGTTTTTAAATTCTTTTAAAGAATTATTGCAATCAAATTTTGCACAAAATCAGCTGAACTAAATAAATTAACTAGTAATTATAAAATCTAAGTTTTATCAACTATAAAAATATCTTATTCAGTATTTTTATTATTTATTAAATATTCATAAAGTGTGATAAGGATTTGTGGGGATATTATAGTAATAATAAAAATTTTTCGATTGTTCAGAAATTGAAGGAATATATGGGCCTAAATTTGAAACTAGTGATACTATCAGATGCCTTTTAAACTTTAGAAATAATACTGTTTTATATATCAAAAATAGCGTGAATCTAGATAATTATTATTTAATGTCTAAATTTATTTAAGTTTTATTTAGTGATAAAGATTGATATTTACACTATTTTTTAAGAAATTGCATCTTGAAACTTAAAATATAATGAATTTTGTAAAAAAAAAGATTCAAATACTAATCTTTATTATTCTTGTATTAGAATAAGATCAGACTATAGGTCCATATCTATAAAGTGAACTTTGGACATAAAAACTTTAAATATACAGATAATTCTTTTATCTAGTATTTTATCTAGCATTGAATAATTATATATCTAATTTTTTTAAATTTATTTTAATATTACTTTTATGAATAGCAATAACTGATATTGATGATAATCAAGTGAAAGAAGAATGGAATAAAGCTTTTAAACAATATGATAATAAAGTTGAGAATTTTATAAAATCATTAAAATCATTTGAAATTAACTAAAAAAATATGCTGAAATATAGTGCAAAAGCTAATTTTATTATGGGAGAATATAAAAAGATGCTTGAAAATTTAAATAATCTGCATGAAATTGAGCAAAACAATATATTCACATTGAGATATTATAGAGAAACTTACTTTATATTAAATGGATATAAATAATCAAAAGCAGACTTAATAAAATTATTAAAAATAAACAAAGATAATAAATGGGCATCAAAAGTAAATAAAGAAGTTATTGAGCAGTAATTGTTATTAGAGTTTTATAGATAAAAAATAAATAACACATTTTATTGTCAATGAACAAACAAAATATATTTTTGATTTTATCTGTTATCTGTTATTCACTCTTTTGTCATGCTATGTACAGTGGGTATGTATAGAATTTTATTTATAAAAGTTCATCTTATTTATAAAAATTGATTAACATATTTTATTGTCAACGAACAATCAAAATTTATTTTTTTATTATATCTGTTATTCACTCTTTTGTCATGCTACATATATTATTAAAACAGTGGGTAAGTATAGAATTTTATTTATAAAAGTTGATCAACATATTTTATTATCAATAAACAATCAAAATATATTTCTCTATTAATTGATGATCTGAATAAGATCAATACAATTACTATATTTGGATAATAAACAAATTTGAGATATTTTATTATAGTATTTATAATATACTCAAATCTAATTTAAGCTACTATATATAGTAATACTATAAATTATCATATATAAGGCCTTCTAAAATATATATTATATATTACATATACCCAGTCTCATACTATAGTATATACTTGTATACAATTTCGATCATTAGCCAATCACAGAAATAGATGCTTGAGAGCATCCTATATCATTACAGAATCAGTTGTAATACTAAGTTTTTCAAAAATTATAGTAATTCAAAATTCTTATTTATGAAGCCTTTCGTATTTTAACAAACCAAAAAAATTTGTATAACCCATTCATTACTATATTTTTATTCTGGTATTGATATACTTTTTTATTTAATACGTATATTTGGCTATTAACAAAGCTTCCATATGATTATCTTTTTTATCAGCACAGCAATTTTTATTTAATATGATAATATGAATTACTAATCATATCAACTTTTGCTATACTGATAAGGGAGATAAATCATATGAATACTGTGTTAGTAGATTGTCTTGTATCTGTGAGAGTTTTTTTTTAATTTTATTGTATTAATCAAAGATAGGGTATGAAATGGGCTGGCCTAATAGGCTTTTTGGATTTTTTAGAAGTTAATTTAGGCCATCTTTCAAAATGCTAGTCATATAACAATTTATAATATGACTAGTATTTTGAAAGGTGACTCAAATTAACTTTCTAAAAAGCTTATTATACTAGCCCATTTTATACTCTAATTAGAGGTTTCAAGGGTCTGATATAATTTACATTATCTAGTTAGAGAAATAATTCTTATATGTCTGATAGAAACTGGTGAAAGAAATTAGTACACTCGTGAAGCCCAAGTTTTTTTTCATTACATTCCAGACAATTAAATTTTGTTATAATATAAATAACTTAAAACTACAAATAAAGTTTAGATTGTTTGCTAAATTAGATATAATATTAGATATACCCATGCTTAGATAATTTATTTAGCATTAACTATTTATAGTAAATAATTGTTATTTTAGCTTCTAATTATTGTTAACAATGTAAAATTATTACTGGTTTAGATAAGATTAGTATTTAGATATATAAATACCAGATACATACTATAGTCCAACACAAAGAATTGATTTTTTACTTTTTACAATAAGCAAACATTTAGATACAAGAGTTACTTTAATTTTACTGGGTTTTTTATTAGAATATCTTTATTATGGGCCTTATTCCTAATTTGGATGGAACTTTAAAACAACTGAATTAGACAATAATAACGAAAGTTTTTTTCTATTTGTGTTGACTAAACAACATATATATATCTTAATGGTTGTAAGTTTATTATTTATATTGTAATTGGTAATAGTAAAGATCACTTAAAACCTGGTTGGTGATGTATATCTGGTAAACAAAGTATAATAGAAACTTCATCAATAAAAGCTATTTCTCTGTATATCAAAAATTATTTAGTACTGCAAAATAATATTCGGAATCTATGGTTGTTGAAATAAATAATTAATATATTATAGATCAGTTAAGTACTGATATTAATTTTTATCCATACCAAGTTTCTTTTTCAAAATACAAAATTTTTATCTATAGTATTGATACCTTTTCTAATATAGATTGGTATAATGCCAGTTCCAGTTTTTGTTTTTCACTTATTCATCCTTATCACAAGAAACATGCAGTTTTTGTTTCAAAAATCCTTGAAGATAAGTGCGTAATTGAATTATACCAAAACACAAATAAAATAAAACCTTTTACGGTTCTATGCTATTCAATGTATAGAAAAACTCTGGGTTTATTGAAAATTTTGATGAAATAGATCTTTTTGGTCTTACAAATAACTATACACAACTATTAATTAAAAATCATCATATTCTAACATGCTTACCAGAGGATTGGATAAATTTACCATTAATAATAGCACTTTATGAATATCATCTTAAAAAAAGAACTTAGACAAATATCAATTGGTATCATATTTTTCAAGAGTAGATGAAACAAAAAAATGATATATCCAAGATAGTATACTTTTAGCAAGCGTAAAATTGGGGCATAGCAAACTATACTATGATTAGCAAGATATTACAATATTACTCTCTTTCCAAAAGATGAATCTAAGGTTTTTTTTTTATTAATAAAATTTTAAGTTACTAATTACATACCATGATAAGTATTAATTTTGGACAAAAGCTGCGAATCCAACCAAAGATTGAGATACTTTAATATATTTACATGCTGCTAGATTTCTAAATACTATTCTAATATATATGCGCAATATTATACAAATATTTTAGTCATATTTTAATCAAGCTTTGAAGAATAGTAAAAGAAATTATGATGGAAAGTAATGAATATTATCCATTATTGCTAATTAATTTACAACATTAATTTAGAGCAAAAATTAAAAGTATGAGTCAGATTTATTTTGTATAGTCAATTTTCATTGATTATAACAATACTAATGCCAATGCTATAATCTAATTTCAATTAAAGGTGGGTAGACAAGTTATTTCAGAAGCTAGAAAATATAAACAAATTGATGGATATGGTGCACCTTCACTTCAAAAACCAGAAATATCTCGCATCAAATTAACACCTGAAATGATTATGCAATTTGATGAATTTTTTCTGATAAAGCCAATGTCAATCCAAGTTCTTATAAAACTGAGTCAAATTTGGGATTACCTGTTCTTTATTTGCATAATATAAAAAAAATCTCTGAGAAAAGTTTTCTAAAATATATCACAATGGAATGCGGCAAACATCATTTATAGTACGACTTGAAGGCAAATGATTTTTTTATAAAGATAATCTTGAAGGATTGTGTTCAACATGTAATAATATGGTTATATTGTTTTTGATGAGATTAAGTTACTTATTGAAAAATATGTTTGTGAAATATATATTAAGGTAATTATTACATAATTGCAATCATTTTTTTTTTAATTTAGCCATTCCTGAATTTTAGATATATTGGAAAATAATCAGACACAACCTAACAAATGCATATTATAATCTGTATATATAGAAATATTTGATAGATCAGATATATATCCTACAATAGTACTTACAATAAAATTATGAAAAGCAATTGAAGATTGATAAATCAAGTATTGCTATTCATGTTCCTTGTGTTAGCTACTACTTACGTCTAGCTTTTGGTGATTGTTCGACACCACTTCCTGATGTTTGTTTTAATTGTGAATCGCTTTTTTTATTTTTTTCAGCTTTAAAAAGGAATCTTCCAACTGAACATCATACATCTCTCAAAGAATACCAACAACATCTAATTTTTTTTATGGCCTATCATGCGAGGAGAACTTATCTTAATAGTCAAATAAATACTAATTTTCAAGAACTAGATTATGATAGGGTACTGCTTGTAGCAAATTACAAAATACATATTAATCCCCAAAGTGTGTATGAAACAAAAGCCAAGTTTTATAGAAATGTGGTTTTATATTGCATTCAGTATTAGTATATACAAAGAATAAAGATAATACTACACTCAATATTTCTGCTTTTGATCACTGGTCAAATGATACTAAACAAGATGTCTGGTTTACTGCATCTTTTTTACA